CCCAGCCTGCCTCCCCGCGGAGGCCCTGCCTCGGGGAACTCTGGGGCCAGCAGGAGGCGGGTGGCTGCTGGCTGGGGGCTGCGCGGGTCCCCCTCCCCAGTCCTGTCCCTCCTGTCCCAGCCTGGCCAGCGCTTCCGGTGCTGGTGGGAGCTGCGGCCCCAGGCCAGATGGGCGCAGAGTCCTCTGGGTGCCGGGGAGCCTGAGGCCCCTGAGGCCCTGGGACCTCTGGGGGAGATGGGGAGCGTGGATCGTGGAGCACAGGTGGAAGCAGATCTGGGGGACCTGGGCTGGGGGGTTAAGGTGGGTGTTGGCCGGGAGTTGGGGGGCAGGGAAGTGGTGGGGCTGGAGTCGGGGAGCACAGGGCACGTCTCGACGCTGGCAGAAGCAGGCGTGGGGGCCTTTCTCCTCCCTGCGATCCTGGGGCCCCAGCCTCTAGGCAGCCTGCACCCCTGGGGGCAGCATATTGACGGCTTTCCACGCCCCAGTGAACTGCTGAGTAACAGAAGGAAACAGTGGACATCAGAGCCAGAGCCGGGGCCTTAGAACCCGCGGCCTCGTGACCCCTGGGGGGACTTGGAGCTGTGGGGCGGGGAAGGAGGGGCCTCAGAGGAGACTGTCCACGCTGCGGGAGCACCTGCATCAGTCGAGGGGGGCTGGGCTGATGTCTCGGGACCTCGGGGCTGCTGGGGGGTTGCAGCACCCACTTGCAGAGGTGGCCTGCACTGGGCCCTCCCCGGCTCCCTCCTGCCCGGCACCCGAGAGCCTGAGGGCGAGACAGCACTGCCTCTGGGGAAAGTGGGGGCCCTGCAGGCGCAGGCCGCGGTCGGGTCGCTGTGCCCGTCATCCTGTCAGGGAGGAGCCGGGCGCCTCAGCCAGGGTCACGCCAGGCTGGTAAAGCAGAGGTAGCCCTTGGGGTGGGGGTCTGCGAAATGCACCCACATCTCCATGTGGGGCCCCCCTACCTGTGCTCCCTCTAACAAAGGCCCTGTGCTCGCTGATAAATGAGCAAGTTCTCTAATCATGGCCGAGCTCCTCTC